ATCTTTGGCTCTGCCCCAGCATTTAAAAATGAACTTTGACAAGCTAAGAAGTTATTTATTTATTTAAACAGTTTGAATGGACTTCCAACTTGCAAAATGCAACTCTGGGCAGCTAAGATAGGATTAAAAACCAAAGAAGATAAACAATAAGCCTCAAAGAAGTACAGCAACACAATTAAAATAACAGAAACCCAAAACATGACATATTCAAATCCTACACCAGTTCCCCAGATGGGCTCCTTCGACATCCTAATCCAGTTCTTGAGCGGAAAACAAAGTTGTTAAAGTTTTAGGGAAGGCCAAGGAGCTTTCCAGGGTCCACAGGCAGAGAGTCTGCAGAAGCACAATCCTGTTTAAGACCGTTGTTCTCCCTCCATTTTAGCCAGCAACTGAGGCCTCAGTCAAACTGCATCAGAGCCTCAGGAACACCATTGAGTTCCCTTTGGAAGGTGCCTGGGGTGGACCAGTTGAATATGTCCTTCCTCCCCATTGTGGGAAGCAGCTGTAGAGAACTTCAAAGCCAACAGAGAATGATCTGACCACCACAAAGAACTGATGATTACATTCGCCATGTTGTGGCCTGCTGGTCTTGTCTTAAGATGATGATGAGAAGGAGGAAATACAGCCAGTGACATCTAGGGATAATAGTCCCAGAGGAGGGGATTCCAACAGTGTTGAAGCCAATGATACCATTCTGGCTGGGGCAGATCCAGCAAGCCCCCAGGACTCCCTGCCTGCACCCACTGACAGCCTCTGAGACTGAAATTCAGCCATCTAGTCCTAAACAGAGGCATGCTTTAAAGATAGAGCAGCAGAGGGCTGAGCTCTGCTGGTCAGACAGACTTGCCAAAAAGCAGGCCAAGGGAGAGTAAACAATAACAAGAAATATGCCTGAGCTGTTCGTTTGGGTGGAGGCTTGGCTTGGCCTATTTGCTGGCCTTGCTCCCTGAGAGAAAACTCTGAGAGAGCTCCTTTTAAAACCTAACTCTGTCATGTTTATCTTGCTGTGCCACGCTTAGAACTCTGGATCCTACCTCACCGTGTCTCTTGTCTTTTCCCTTGGATTCATTGCTCATTGAGTTTTTTTCCCAGTAGTCTCCCAGGACACTTACGGCAGACCTGGAAAAAGGGGACTTTAATAGCACTATTGAGCAAGAGATTGCTGAACTCCCATCAAAAGGTCTCAGGCAATCTGTAGAGAGTAAGGAAGCTGGCCTTGATGGAGAAATGCAGGAGCTGCTGCCTAGGCAAAAGGGGCTGAAGCATTTTTTAAAGTCTAAAACAGCCAGATAACATTTGGAAGCAGCTCAGACAGGTGCCTCCCTAATTCATTGAGCTATAAGAAGAAGGAGGAAGCACAGCACAGTCAGACTTGCAAGATGCTGTTATTACAGCCAATCTCAATAAAAGTACTTCTAGCCTTCCTGTGGAGTTGATTTCCTGATCTGGTCTATCTAATGGGCTCAGAAGGTCTCAGCAAACACAATGTTTTTTTAACACATTGCAGTTGTTAATTGATAAGCTACTTGTAATCTGTCTCACATGTAAGCTATATCTGCATAACAACCCTGTCTTCCTCTCCTTTCCCTTCCCGCTCATCCCAACTGTAATCCTACATCAGTCTAGCCACTCCATGCATCTGATGAAATGAGCTGCAGCCCAAACTGCTTATGCCTTTTAATACAATTTGTTAGTTGGAAAAGGTGCTACCAGATTCCTTCTGATTTTTTGCCGCCATAGATTAACACAGCTATCTTCCTACAAGCACTTAGGTACATACTGTAGAAATATTAACGTGGCAGAATGATCTACGGAAGTGGTAATACCTAGCTGATCTTGGCTGATTCCTCAAATCTGGGATAGCTGGACCTGCATAGTACTTGGATGGAATGTCACCAAGAAATCCTAGAGGTGTAAAATAGATAGGGAAGTCTGGGTTCAAGCTGGGTTACAGCACTGAGATGGTGTTGGTCATGCTGGTAGATGACCTATGGAGGGCTTGAGATGAGAGTGATACATCCATCCTGGTCCTCCTGGATCTTTTAGTGGCTTTCAGTAACATCAACCATGGTATAGTTGTGGACTGGCTGCAGGGGCTGGGAGAGGGAGTGGTTCTCCTTCTTCCTCTGAGGCCAGTTCCGGTTGGTGGATGGGGGAAACAGATCAGTCCATAGGGTCTGCAATGTAGGGTGCCTCAGGGCTCAAGTCTCTCACCCCTCCTTTTTAATATCTATATGAGACTGCTGGGAGAGGATATGCAGCAGCACAGATGTAGTATCTCTACCCCTAGCTGGCCAAGCGACACCATCCTGGTGCTGGCCCAGTGCCAGTAGGCTGTAAGAGATTGGAAGGGCTGTAATGGCTATAAGGGATCGGAAGGGAAGGAACTGGCTTTGACTCAACCCTAGCAAGAGGGAGTGGTTCTGGGTTTTTGGGCCTCCTGGGCCCAGTGATATGTCATATTTGACTCTTGCCAAAGTAGCACTCCCCCAGACAGAGCTGGTGCACAATTTGGGGGTCTTCCTGGGCTTGCAGCTCCTGTTCAAGGAGCAGGTGGCAGTCTTGGCTGGGTGAGGGGGTGCGCAAATCCATCTTGTGTGCCAACTGCAGCTATTCCTGGACCGGGAAGCCTTGGTTACAGTCACATCCTGGTTGGATTACTGCAATGTATGTACATGGGGTTACTCCTGAAGACCATCCAGAAACTACAATTGGTCCAGAATGCAGTGGCGCATGCAGATCTGGGTGCCCCATGGTTTGCCCATATGTAATGGGCAGAAAGTATAACTCTAAGGAAGAGGAGGAAGAGCTGCTACCAAGGCAACGCTCAGGTAAAAGAAACCTGAGTCCAAGGCCTAACTGTAACCTGAGAAAATGTATCAAAGCAGACTCTCCCTAGTTCTCATGAAGATAAAAGGAGGGAGGGGGAAGCACATTCTGACTTGCAGGATTCTGTTACCATAACGTTATAATAAAAGTAGTATTGGTCTGCACGACTTTGGTTTCCTAGTCTTGTCCACCTTGAAGGCCTGATACCATATTACACCACTGTTGCATGAGCTGCACTGGCTTCCAGTTTCTTTCCAGGTGCAATTCAAGGTGCTGGTTATCACCTTTAAAGCCCAAATGGCATGGGACCAGTATACTTGTGGGCCTCCCTGTCCTGAGGGTATCTTGCCTGTCCCATCAGGTGAGATAGGATGGGCGTGCTCCAGGTCCTTTCCCTTAAATGTCATCCAATGGGATCTAGAAAGTGTACCTTCTCCATAGCTGCCTCTGCCCTGTGGCACACCCTTCCCATAGGGTCCGGCAGCCCCCACCCCTTTGCCTTCCAGAACGCCTTGAAGAACTGGCTCTTCTTACAAGCTTTGGGATAGGATGAATCTGACGCCCATTAAAATGGTATGTGGATATATGGGAAGGTGTTGCCTGGGGCTGCATAAATTTTTATAGAGTTTTTATTATTGTTTTTATTTTATTTTTTTACTGTTTCATACACTAGCCAGGGTTGTGGTTACAATATGGGCCACTATGTAAATTATTATAAATTAATTAATTAAAAAAAACAACAACCTGGAAGCAAGCAGTGGCAAAATACTTCCATAATGTTGCCAGGAAAGACCACACAGTCATGTCCGTATGGGTACTAGGAGTCAAACTAAATTCAGTGGAGGCTTTATTTTTATGGCAGAATGCTAACACATCTTCATGACATTGCTTCACAGCTAGAAGACTCTCCTCTGTCACAAAGTGGTCTTCAAAGTGAGGGCTAATATACCAAGATTTATTAATACAGGAGGATGGAGAATTTAAGATGAAGTCAAGGGAACAATTGATTGCAGAAGGACATAGTTTCCAGTGGTAACTGCAGCAAGTTTATTGTATGCTCAACAATGGAAGAACAATGAAATTCCCTTTGATTGGTGAATTATCCTCTGATTGAGATCAATTATCAGAGGAACAGATCAACTATGGCTTCCTAGTTACTATAGTTAACAGGCTTAGGTCTGTTAACACACCAAGGAGGAATCCAAGGGGACCATTTAAATATGATATTTGACCTTTGCTGCAAGCAAACAAAAGCACAATGTTATGTATGGGTTTTTTGTCTGTATACTGAAGCTCCTCCATCCTATACCACCCTGTCTCTTCGGTAAAGTATCACTTCAAAAAAACATGAATGCTAAAATAAGAGTTCCAAACTCTAGCAATTGTGAAATAGTGGAGTTTTCAGGCTCTACAGGACAGGTGGCAAGTAGACATTAAGTATAATTGGATAACACACAGAATAAAGCTGCATCTCAACAAAATAAGAAACATGTTGTATACTTCAAGGGGTCCACTGCTGGGAGATAATATAGAAATGATGTTGAACAGGAATTAACTCGCAATGTCAACTCAGTGAAATTGAATGGAACACATTTTCACCAAATGCTTCCCCATTCAAAGCTGACCTCCAAAGAGGGAAGCCAAGTTCTGATCCCTTAACTTTGAAATGTGATTGGCTTCCCAAGTGTTGTGGTAGAGCAGAATGGTCAGTTGGTATCATTCAACCATTTTGTAAATCGAGAAGTTTCCACAGTACTCCATAAACATACTCATAGTGTGTATCTGTCTGTGTGGGGTTAATTAACCATAATATATTCATTTGGAATTAGTGGCATTTAAAGTAGGATTTCAAATGGGTGCTGACAGATTTATCTTCAAGGATGCATTTGGGGTGGGGGATAGATAGAGATAGTGGGGATAGATAGAGCTACGAAAGTATACTAATGTACTTAATTGGCACCTTCATATTTATCTCGTCTGTTCAAAAGGTTTATGTGAATTCCTGTAGAGTAAGAAGGACTTGAGCACCCAACAAAATACAGCAGTTTACAAATACTTCCCTCTAGGTTATATTTCTATATAATATACGTTATTAGCTAAATATTTTCTTTCAAGATTATGTCATGCGTTAATTCTGTATCTTTTTTTTAATTTTTTTTTTGTGTGTGCAGGATTCTACTGGTGTGACATCAGTTTTTCTTAGAACAGACCCACAAGGATTTTTCTTATACTGGACAGATCAAAATAAGGTAAACATATTCTCAAGTACTTGAATTAGCTCTTCATTTTTCTTTCTAATGAGATCCCTTTGTTGGTATGATTGAGAAACACCAGTGTTGATGTAATTGTTGGTTGGTGTGAGACCTCACTGAGTAAGTTTTATCATTTTCACTGCATGGAATATATTTTCAGAGGACCACTGGATTCTGATTGTCAGTGGTGTGGATTACAAATTCTTTTGACTACTGATACTTAAGCTGGGCACACTCGACCAGCCTGTCCAAATACGTTGAATTGCAACCCCTTATCCCTGCCAGCAAGCATTGCTATTAGGATCATGGGAGTAATATTCCAACGTATCTAGAGAAGGCTAAGTTGGAGAAATTATACTACAAGTTAAAATAAAATCAGGCGAGGGGGGGATTTTGCAATATTTTTTGAACTGCAAGGACAAACTGAAAGATGGCATAGACTGAGGAAGAATGGGACTGCTGATGAACATCTTCACATATAATCTCGTGCTTGCTAGGTGTTGTATTTCCTGTTGGTTTAGAAAAAAACAAGTATCTTGAAAGAATTGGTATCACATGCAATTGTTGAAATGGGTCCTTGCTGGATCATAGATATGTAAAACACCCTGATATGTAAAGGTCAAATAAGGATTTTTCTCTTTAGTTGATGGATTTTGAAATATTTGCTGGAGTGTGTCTTTTAAAGGCTGTGTTTGGCAAAACAAAACCAGATCAGCTGCTTGAAGGACTTGTTTAGAAATGGGAGACTTATTTACAATCAGTGTTGGCAGCTACTGAAAGATTAGTTACAGAAAGTCTTATAGGAAGAATCTGCAGTAATTCTAGCACTTGCTTTCCAATTGCTGACAAATGATTAGAAAAAAGAAACAGGAAATTTTATGTAAATCTTCTGTGATGGTTTCTTGGTAGTGTATGAAGAAGGGATAAGCAAATTTCTGGTTAACAAAGCGCTCTTTTTGTCCCCTCATAGAACATAAAACAATTTTACATCTTGGGTTAACCAAAACAACTTAATTTTTTTTTCAAAAAGGAATGCAACTTCACTGACAGATGGATTTAAATTTTGTTAGGGTAGCTATCATTTCTGGATTTAAAATTTAGGTATTGAAGCAACAGAGTGAAGTTCTACATAAATTTATGGTCCTTGTGAGTCCAGTAGCAGCCATTTGCTTTATTTGTTAAGCTCTTAATGGCCCTTTTGATCAATTGAAGGACGAGAGCATAAACATAAGCAAGCTAAGAATGTCTTACTTGCAGTTCTTGTTTTATTTAAATATAACCACAGGAAAGTCCAGGGGGTTGATTTACATTGGAGCAGTGACCCTGATGAAAGGGTTTAAATTCTTCTAAACTGTGTACCTGACTTAAATTGCTGTAAGAATTTCATATTAAAAGATACCTATTTTGTTTAGATTTAATATGTGGATCATTAGCAGCTTCTGGGGTGACCACAATCATAGCAGTGGTAAAACTTCCACAAATGTCAGTGGTAAGATGCAGATCCCTTAAAGCTTTATTTAGATAAAAATAGAACATCGGATCGGATATTCATTTCACATAATTTGGGCATAAGCCTGTATACACAGAGATGAATTTTTTGGACAGACTGGCACAAGGTTGGTAGTATACAAATGGATATATCAACATGATGTTTAGAAAGGAGATAGATTGTCCTAAGTGCAGTATTGTTATAGAACAGATTTTGTGTGTGTATATGATTTCTTCACCAAACAGTGATTGAGTTACAATTTTGCTCTAGGCTTCCCACAGGTCTATTTTTCCTCACCATGTGCCCTGCAAGAAGCTTGGCATCAGAGAATTTCAGTTATCATGTTTTTTTCCATAGCTATTTCAACCTCAAGCTTTTTATTGGTGGGCAATGTGTGAACAGACTCAGAAATAAATAAGTGACAAGATTATTTGATTAACTGTGATTCTGTTGGGGAAGTCAGATTGATCAGTGAAAGTGCATATTAATAGAAGAGGCTGCAGTGAAGTGCTTTGAGTGTTGCTATTATAGAAAAAGTTAAAGGTGGTATTTCCTTCTAACAGGCCACCACTAGGTAAGCTGAAAAAATATACCTGGAAAAATGCCTCTATTCTACAGATGATGTGTTGTTTATCTGTAGGTGTATGTAGTCAGTAGACGGATTCACCTAGGAATAAAAGTAATTGTAACTCTTCTTGTGGTTGAGGACTCCATCCCCCGTCCCCTCACTGGAGTGTAATTTAGGTGTTCTCATGGTGTAAATTCTTCGGATTGTAATTTTCTTTAGTTCTGTTTTGGTGTAGCCCAAGAATATTCAAAATGACTATAAGGGATTCATAGTATAATATGTTGTAATGATGAATGGCAGAAACATTAAGTAAAATGCACCCAAAGTATATGGGGCAAACTATACATGGCATGCAATAACAACGTGTTTCTGAACTTGTTTCTAAATAAATGAAGCATTTATTTTCATAATTTGGCCATTAGTAATTTTTACCTTTAGTAATTTGGCCATTTGTAATTTACTGAAATTGGGTAGGCAGCAAAACTAGGAATGTTGATTATTTCTGGAGGGGGAGAGAAAGTGGAATTTTCACCAATTGCTGGTATGATAGTGCTCCTTACAGCACGTGCCAATCCTTAGCATACAGAATCCTTTGGAATAACCCTGCCTACTGATACAATAATGCTTAAAGGGAATTTTGGATGGTAAAAATATAGCTGTCAGGAGAAGTGATGCTGTGATATTCCCCAATTGGTTCAGGTGGGTGATTTGTCCGAAAGTTTCGAAAGTAATCTTTCCCTTTTATGAAAGAAAAATAGCATGATTATGATGCCTTTCTCTATTTATTCCTTGAGTAGGAGTTCTTAGCATATGTAATCTAATTTTATCCAAAGTAAGTAAGCATAACATTCATATACAGTACTTATATTTTTTAAAACACTTTAAGGATCATTGTATTGGCTTTTTGTAAAAAAAAGCATATTTTCATTATCAGCACTGATGGTTGTAAGAGGAATTTGATCTTCAAGAATAGCAGTATGTACAGGAGAAGTGATGCTGTGATATTCCCCAATTGGTTCAGGTGGGTGATTTGTCTGAAAAGGTTTCGAAAGTAATCTTTCCCTTTTATGAAAGAAAAATAGCACGATTATGATGCCTTTCTCTATTTATTCCTTGAGTAGGAGTTCTTAGCATATGTAATCTAATTTTATCCAAAGTAAGTAAGCATAACATTCATATACAGTACTTATATTTTTTAAAACACTTTAAGGATCATTGTATTGGCTTTTTGTAAAAAAAAGCATATTTTCATTATCAGCACTGATGGTTGTAAGAGGAATTTGATCTTCAAGAATAGCAGTATGTACAGGAGAAGTGATGCTGTGATATTCCCCAATTGGTTCAGGTGGGTGATTTGTCTGAAAAGGTTTCGAAAGTAATCTTTCCCTTTTATGAAAGAAAAATAGCACGATTATGATGCCTTTCTCTATTTATTCCTTGAGTAGGAGTTCTTAGCATATGTAATCTAATTTTATCCAAAGTAAGTAAGCATAACATTTCCCTTTTATGAAAGAAAAATAGCACGATTATGATGCCTTTCTCTATTTATTCCTTGAGTAGGAGTTCTTAGCATATGTAATCTAATTTTATCCAAAGTAAGTAAGCATAACATATTGGCTTTTTTGTAAAAAAAAGCATATTTTCATTATCAGCACTGATGGTTGTAAGAGGAATTTGATCTTCAAGAATAGCAGTATGTACAGATGAGAAATCAAGTTGTGCATTGGGTTTTGGACTTTTGGAATCTTCTGATGCAGCTTCCTACTCAAAAGGACATACCAAAATACACTGACAATATTTGCTTTGTGTGAAAAGGCACCCAGGAACATATTTAAGTGCCAAAAACTTTTTACAGGATTGTATATTATACACAGACAAGACACAATGAGTGAACATATGTGAACAGAACACAAAGGGGATTGTTTGAAGTCAATTTTAATAGTAACTAGACAACCCATGACCTGTTGGGTCATCATTTCAGAGATATTTCCTTACCTAAACAGAGAAACAGAATGACCAAGGGCAAAAAAGCAGTGGGAGCAGGAGCAACTTATGACTTGCTGCCAGCTTCTCCATTGACTTTGCTTGTGGGAAGCTGGCAAGGAGCATCAGAAATCTCCCTCCCTCCTTCCCTTTGATCACCAGCACCCCCCAGCCAGCCCTACCTTGCCAGCAGGCAACCAAGTTGCTCCCTCATCCTTCCCTCAGTGCCTACAGCCATTAAGAGGTTTCAGATTTCTGCCTTGTTTCCAAAGCAGACAATTGCCACTTGCCCATTGGGCCTTGCCACCAGTCGATTGGGCTCAGGGGAGAGAGGGAGGCTTCACAGAGGTTGGGGATACTCCCATGACGATCGTGTGACTTGGGATGACCATGGCAGCGTAGCACCACAGCAGTGCTGAAGCAGCCACAAATTTCCCAAATTTCAATCCCACAAGAGTCATGTGTCCTGGATTTTGGATGCATTCTGTAAGTTAACCTATTTGAGGTACTTTGGTTCAAAAATTGTTGCCCTATGACGCACTGTTTCGCCTAGTTGAAGGTTACAGACACGAGAGTTTTAGTAGTGTATAGATATTTGGAAGCAGTGGAATTATACAGTGCCAGTGTATTTATAAAGAGTATACCAAGTCTTACAATCTTTTTGTCTCTAGAGGATTTTTTTTTAATCCAACTATAAATGAACAAGCCATTGAAAATGGAGAGAAAGTAATAGATTGTGTGCCATGACAGCCACATTTAATTTTAGCCAAAATCATTGTAACTCTCAGGGCTCTCCACTCATAAATATGCCTTTTGAGACAATAACACTGTAGTGAGCTCAAGCTTTATATTTCTGTGCAACTTTTGTGAAATCTTATGCATACTCTGTGTATAAAGGCCTTAAAAGTAATTAGATTCTTCTAATACTCTAGCCATTGAGAATTAAAAGATTGTGGT